TGTGTGTTTGTGTTTGTGTTAGTGTGTTTGTGTGTGTGTGTGTGTGTGTGTGTGTGTGTGTGTGTGTGTGTGTGCGTGCGTGTGTGTGTGTGCGCGTGCGTGTGTGTTTTCCGAATCGGTTCTTTGCTGTATTGTTTTCAAAAAGATTACACATGGTTTCTTTCGTAAAATGAAAGACAGTGAGCGATATGGTATGGTATGGTATAGTTTGGTGTGGTGTGGTATTGCATGGTATAGTGTGGCAGGCCTATGGTATGATACAGCAAGGTATTTTTATTTATTCATTTATTTATTTGGTGTTTTACGGCGCTTGCAACTGCATAAGGTCATAAGAGCGTGCGGGACACATTCTACATTTTCAATTGGTAGAATTTTGCCCGGTCGGCGGCTGCAGCCTACTCTTATCCATTTTAGACCACCAAGGGATCTTTAAATTGCGCAGCTTGCACACGGGACATCCGAGAATTTCGCCCTTGTCCCAGAAGGCTAGGTGCAGATCTTTCGTATCAGAAAATCAGGGGTGTGGTTAAAAGACAGCCACAAGAAGGAGCCAAGGAGTAGCAGTAGAAAGGCTGCAGAGAGTGCCAGAAGCCCAGAGGAGGGGACAAAAGAGGCGAGGGGGTGGAGGCTGAAAGCAGACGACAGAACATGCCCAGAGACCAGGTAAGGAGGTGAAAGGAGACAATTTTAGAGAACAAAAATTTTCCGGCGCTACCCGGATTCGAACCCGAGACCTTTGAATGAGAAGCGAACACTATAAGCTCTCGGCCACGAGAGCCCCCACGGTCTGGTATGGTATGCTATGGTATGGTTTGGTATGGCATGGTATGGTTGTAGGGTGCGGTACAGTAGGGTATGGTATGGGTTCAACAACCCTGTAAATGCAGTTAAGGAATTCGAGAGGCGAAATTATCTCCGAAATAAAGTCTATCTCCAACAGAGCTGATCCGAGAAGGCGGAGAGGTCTGAAAACTCCTTAATCAACCTGGGCAAAAGAACATTCTATTTCGAGTCCGAACCGGGTTATCTGAATAGTATGTCAACATAACACCATCTCAACAAACGGCGCGTCTCTCATAATTGTACTTTTTACTTAGCCAATGTCAATTTTTGTGGACAAACTTTTGTGGAAAAGTATTCAAAACCCAAACGGATGTTAACAAAGTCTACAAGAAACAAAAGTAATAATATAATAAGCCCATAATAATTGCAATAGTTGTGATTATAATATGGCGATGATGGTGACAAAGATTATAATGGTAATGATAATAATAGTAATAATAATAAAAAATAATAATGATAAAATACATTTGTGTGAAAGCATTTTTATGCTTTCAAGTACAAAAAAAAAGCTTTAAAGAGTCAAGAAAAATGTTCTTCAGAGACATAGTTATAGGGCAACGGGAACATTTTATAAACCGTGGAAAGATGACCAGAAAATAACAAAATCATATTATGATTTTCACTTGCACTTGCAATTATTTTGACAAATTTTAGTTTACCCATTTATTTTACTTTTTTCGCACATTTTTCTTCACTATTCATGACAACTATATTATTTTCAGTTATTATCAATTAGCAATTTTCATTGATTAGCATAGACTTCTAATATAATTTTTTCAGATATTGAGTCAGAGACTCGCTGTCTAAAAGGTCCATAGCTAATATTATTCTTACCAAAGAAAATGGCACAATTTGATAGTGTAAAAAAGTTATAAAATATCCAGAAAATGACATAAAATAATTATGTATTATGTATACATGTACTGAAAGACTGAGCAGAGGATTATAATTTCATCTCTGTTCTCTACTAGTAAGTTTGCGCAAAACAGATTTTAGACAAAAAAAGTTGGATCTAAAAGAAGTAAAAGTGATTGTTATTATGAGATTTGTTATTAATAACTCTGGAAAATATAAATTTAGTTAGATGCTGAATCTAAAATTAACTAGAACTGTGCAATTCAAGTTTGTATTTCAATTCCAAAGCCCAGAGGCATAGCAATAAGTTAGATGTAGGCTCACTGGCTGGTTCTAGCCTACCACTACTACTGCTGATCCTAGACAGGGAATCTAGATTTAGCTATCATCTGCACTATTTAAAATCCAAGATAAAATAAAAACAAAACTGTGCATTTTTTTTATTAGTAGAGGGTTTTACGGCGCTCGCAACTGCATAAGGTCATATGAGCGCCAAGAGGTGGATGTCAACAGAGAAGTCTTTACACAGTATCAGACTTACTCTGCTCTACTACTCACCTCTCTAGCTTCAACAGCACAAGGTCTGCTGCAACTATCAAGGCACCCCGGAAATAGCAGGTCACAAGAGAGTGACAAACATACAAAAGAAGTAGAGGAAAATGACAATAGTGAGGATTAAGAAAGAAAAAGCAGCAGTTCCCTGTTGTAAATCAGGCACAGTTATGAGCGTGACATGAATCAGCCCATTTACAATTCTACTGTGCTTGATGGAGAAATGTCCCCCCTTTGGGAATGGCCTAAAGACACTACAGTCAGTGGCACAGCCCCCGGG